GGGCACTGAGGCCCCCACCGAGGCCCCCACCGAGGCCCCCACCGAGGCCCCCCCCGCCGCGGCCGCGTTTTCACTCAGCACGTGCTCCGCGCTTGTTACCGTCGGGATCCGGTCTTCGCAGTTACTCACTTAATCCTCACGACAAGCGGGCGCTCTGTCACCCCCATTTTATCAGCGGAGACCCTGGGGTTCCGGCCCATGCCGGCTGCCAGTCGCACACACGGCTAGAAGGCGTCGGGATCGGAACCCAGAACTCTGACTCTGAACGCCCGCTACTTGCCGTCACTGTGCTGCGAGGTCATCCTCGCTCATTCACTCACTCGGCATGTACTCGGCACCTGCTGTATGCCAGGTGTGCCAGGTGTGCCGGTGCGTGTGGAGCCACGAGCCGTGAACCAGACGTGGCCCCAAAGAATGTCTTAAGGAAGAGACAGAGGTTTAAAAAGCTACAGAAATGCTCCCAGCAGTTAAATAATTTCAGTGGATGAGATGAAATGAACACCCTTCAGGAGACAGAGGACCTGACAGTTGGGTCTAATTCCTACCCTTCAAGATGCATCTACAATTTGACGTCGCCTCACGCTCACCGCCACCCCCGCCCAGCCCACCAGTGGTCACCTGGATCGCGATGACCAGACTCCTCACTGGCCGCCGCTCTGGCCCTTGCCTCCCATCCTCTGTTGTCCAGACGACAGGCTCAGGGGGCCCCTTTAAAAGCTGTGTGGTCCCTTGAAGCCCCAGTGGCCTCTGTCACGTTCGGATGGGCAGCAAAGCCCTCTGCGATCTCACCTCTGCCTTCGTCCTCCGCTTGTCCCACCGCTGTCCCCCGGACCCCTGAGCCCCAGCCCCCAGCCTCTGTGCCCTTCTCGGAAAACCCTGAGCCACCCACCCAGCGCCTCATGTGTCCCGCCACGGGCCAGGTCATCGTGGGTGTGCCCCTCACCTCACGCAGGTCTCTGCCCAAATCAGAGAGGCTTCCTCTGAACTCGAGCTGAAACGCACACGCCCTGCCATCACTTACCCAGCTTAAGGACCCTCGTAGCTGCTTAATTTTTCTTCCTTCTGCGAGCCTGCCCGTTCCATCAAGGCAGACTCTATCCATGATTTGGTCACTGATGTCGGGAGACCCTAGAGTAGATTATTGGTGCGTCGTTGAGTAAGTGGTCGACGGGTCGACTGACCGGGGAGAGGCTCGGCGGGGTGAGGGGAGAGGCTCGGCGGGGTGAGGGAGGGCCTCCGGGCACGGGCGGTCGGGCGCCGTGGCACACGTAGGCGTCTCCCGGGCGGCCGGCAAGGACAGGATGCGCATCCCGGCGGGGAACAGCGTGTGCGAGGCGGTTCGGTCTGACCCTTGCCCTCTTTCATGTCAGGCGTGTCGGGGATTCTGACTACAGCGACGGGGAGGAGGACTTCTACTACACGGAGATCAAGCTCAACACAGACTCGGTGGCGGACGGGCTGAGCAGCCTGGCCCCGGCTTCGCCCTCCCAGCCGCTGGCTTCGCCTCCCACGTTCCCCATCCCGGACTCCGGCCGAGCGGAGACCCCTGGTGCCAAAACCGAGCCTAAACTGATGACGCCCCTGAGCCGCTCGGCACCCACCACCCTCTACCTCGTGCACACCGACCACGCTTACCAGGTGACGTGCAAGGGACCCTGAGCAATCACTTTGACCCTGACCAAAAGCAGCTGGGGCTGACCTGTGAGCAGAGGATAACTCAGTGGGAAAACAGCATCCCATTCCACATGGTAGCCGAGTTTGGTTTCCCTTGTCCTTTTAAAGCCACGATCTCACAGGTGGGGCCCTCCAGGTCCTCAGCCTCCCCGGGACTGACCGCAGAGCCTCTGGAGGCGGTCCTCGGGGTTCCTTAGTGTCGTAAGGGCTTCAGAAGGGTGCCTGGCACATGCCGTGAGAGTCTGTTATATGAGGAAGAAAAGGCGCATCGAAAAGCTTCGGCACAGAGGTGGACCCGCCCCGCAGCCCAGGTAGGGACCTCACGCCCTGCCTTCTGAGTCGGCGGCGAACCCTCTCCGATGAGAGCAGTGGGCATCAGGGTTCCCCAAGTCAGCAGTGGTAATAGGTGAGACATGTAAATTCTTGGGGCCGCCTAGACCCACCGGACCAGCGTCTGTGCTGTGACAGGCCCTCGAGGTAACAGCCTCACTCTGAAGTCCCATAAGACCTCACAGACAAATCCCGCAAACGGGGTACATAGCTAACGCCCCTTGACCCCAGTGATTATTAACTCTCTTAAACGTCGGTTCGGATTAATAAAATGTCAATACATATAAATTTTAAGAAAACATTTTACCCATAACTCTCCACTACCTTCTGCAACTTAAAAAAAAAAAACAAAAACCTCCTTTATGTGTTTGTATCTGCGTTCTCTCTCCCCCGTTTCAGAAACATTTCCATCTAATCGGATGGTACTCGGTTCAAGCGAATTGTTTTCTGAGTGTCAGGCATCTACTCTTCAGTCTCTCTCATTGTTTTCACCATCGTTAATAACTCTACTATGAATATCTCTGGGCCGAAACATTTTCCAGTGGTGCCAGTGCCAAAACCACTGTCACCAGCAACTATATTTATGATTAGGAAAACTAAACCTGGAGAGGAAGAATAATTCAGTTACTTATTTAGTAAACAAACTCAGGAGCGATGGAATAGAGCTAAGTATGGAACTTGTCGATGCGATAAATTTCATTCCTGACTCTGTTATGTTGGTCAGAAAGAATAATTCAGTCCTTTTTTTCTTGTTGGTCAGTGTTCCATTTAGGTCTGAAATTAATTAACTCGAACCAAGTTAATTAATTTATTTTGCTCCTCTATAAAATGAGAGCTGGAACACACACTGGGTGATTCTAGAAGGTCCTTCCTAAACCATATAGTCATAATTTTGGGATTTCTCTGTTTATAGATATAATAAATGTTCAGCATAGAAAATATTTAAAATGTAAGCAAAGAAATAAAATCCACCCCTAATCCCAAGGACAAGAAAGTCCCTTGGTCAGTATTTTTGTATGTCCTTAGAGACTTTGTCCTATGTGGGTATGTTTACTCGGTTTAAAAAAGAAATCTGTTGTGGTAGTTTTCTTTGCTCTGCTTTGTTTTTTCCGCTGAGTATGTCACAAACATTTTCCCATGCCAGTGAGTTTTCTTCATCATCATTTGTAATGGCTCTGTGGGTATATCAGCATTTATTTACCCATTTTCCTATTATTGGACGTTTGTGTTTCCAGTTCTTTATATATAATACATAGTTTTGCAATGAACATCCTTGAATCCATTTCCTTGGAATGAATTCCAGAAGTAGAATAGCTAATAAATAGAATACTAAGAATTTTTATATATATTGCCAAATTACCCTCCTTAAATGTTGTACCACATTTACTCACCCACCATCACTGTATAAAAGTGTGTATTTCCCAGTTCGATAGTGAGGAACTATATCCCACAGGTGCTCTAAAATACCAAAATCAATAGTCAAAAGCCATCTCCTTTTGTACCTTACATCGATCGTTCAAATATATTAAAAAGTTGGTTTCTAGCTACTGTCTTTGACAGTGTTTAACCTCCTCCTATTACATAATTAGTCTAAGATACTAATGCAGCGGAGATCATTTCTGAGGCCCTGCCTAGGTAATGACAGCTCAAGACTCTGAGGAAAACGTCCTTTCAAACAACGTCCGCTCTCTTCTGTTTCACAGGCCACGCCCCCCGTGACCATTCCCGGGTCGGCCAAGTTCACCCCCAACGGCGGCAGCTTCAGCATTTCCTGGCAGTCCCCCCCAGTTACTTTCACAGGCATTCCAGTAAGTAGAAAAACGGAAAGCTGCAGGTCGGGTCGAAACCACACGTAAATTCAGAGAACCAATTTACACACGCAAGAAAATGACCAAAATCAGAGCGCCAGCCATGCCCTATTTCCTATAAACTCTGCGAGGTCGGTCACTCACGGTTCCGATGGGCCCAGCGACTCGGTGAAAAGGCATTCTGACCGGGATTTTAGAAAACGAGAGAGTTTCAGCTGTCGATAAATAACATTTTGGAAACGAATCCAGGTTTTTTGTGTTGGTGTTTATGTGTATGTTTCTAAAAGGCTTTATAAAATGAATCCCTGAATGCAGAAAAAGACCCTGTGCCTAAATGCTCTTTATCATTATGAGTAGTTTTATAAAATTTACGCCTTTGAAATGACTGTGTATGGGTATGTTATATGGAAGGTTCCAAAAAAAAATTTGAAGTTACTTTCTTTCCCAATGCCTGAATAATCCATACTGATGGGTGATTTGAAAATGAATGAGTGCAAAAATATACAATCGGGTTTAAGTAATCTATCAGAATTGATTTGACATATTAAATGATTACCGTCTGATAAATCATCATGAATTAACCTGATTCCTAACTTTAATTTAAAAATACATTAGGTCTTTTATAGCTTATCACAGAACATCCACAGACGTGCAGGCTGCTGATCACGGTGATTTATAACTCCTGATAAGGTGCAGAAAGTGGCTTCTGATAATGGATATTAATGTTATTTTCTCCTTTCCACCCCTCTCCCCCGAGGACCTCACAAAAGCTTCTCATTATCAACCACGGGCAAATCCCAGAGGTTTCTTGCAAATACTAAGGCCTCCCGCGGAGCTGATAATAATGAAAGTGCCTCAATCAATTATGCTGTCCTCCGTCAATGAATATTTATTAAATTTCCTAGAGGAATAGCCGGCCATAAAAAGCATCCTGCTGGCAGCAATTTGGGAGTTTGCAGCTTCCAGAAAATACTCCTGGAGCTCCCTTTTTAAACAACGTCGTGGATCCGGAGTAATTATGAAAATTGCCGCTTCGTGGAATAGGGGGGGCTTCTGGTCAGTCTGACAGCGAGAAGGGGGTGAGGGGCCTCGGTAGGGGACAGGCGAGAACAGTGATCCACTGAGGCGGTGTCAGAGGTGAACAACGGGGCCTTCGGGCGACCCTTTTTGTTGTCATTAGACACGAAAGAGCCGGAGTGGCTCTCGCTGTCGCGTCTGAGACGGCCCTTCTGCCCTGGAGGGGCAGCTCCTCCCGCAGAGTCACCGGGACCTGCTCTTCTGAAGTCTGCTCGCCCGGGTCTCTGTCTCTCTCTCCGGGGAGCTTCCGCCTGGGTTCGATTAATTACATCGCGCACTTCTGAAGGGCACAGAAGCCACTCTGAGTGGCTCTCCCTGGCTGCGAGTTCTCTCGAGTCCCTGAACATCTTCCGCGACAAAGGAGCAGCCCGGCCCCGTCTCCCGGCTCCAACTCCCGGCACCGTCTACTGCTCGTTTTCCGACAGTGGACCAGTCTCCCTGCCTTCATCGCAATGCCCTAGGGCCCCTACTTTCACAGTCGGGGGCGTTCTAGACCAGAGCTCTGACGGAAAGCACGCAGAGCAAGGGGGTTGGCTGGGCACCCCACTGAACTCCATGCGAGCTTCTGTGTGTTCTTCCACCGGAGGACTCCCCATGGGGGCCCGGGCCGCTTCAGCCAGCTCTCCAGGCTGTCAGCGGTCATGCTCGCCATTCCTATTTGGGGGGGAAAAAAGGTCAGGGGCGCTGTCTTGCACGTCTTCAGAAAGCAGACAAGAAGCACCCTACTAAAAAGGTCCTTCCTTTGCGGTGCTGTGTAAAAATAGCGCTTTCAAAAATAAAGCGGGTGTTTGCTGCCCGCCTCCTTCGGCGGGGTCGGACCTTGCAGGTGCTCCAAGCACAGGCGTAGGACCACCACCCATCCACTGAGGGGACACCAGCAACCGTTCCTGAATTCTGCAGGCGTGCCTGTCCCGCCCCAAGGAGACGGGGAGCCAGGCTGACTATAAGAACGTGTGAATGTCAACTGTAGTTGAAAACTTTAAAAATTATTGGGAAAAAAAAGAACATGAATTCCTACCTTCTAAATTAGTGTGACAGGGTTCTCAGACAGAGGCTCTCGATGTTTCAAATGCAGGGAACGCGTGGCGTGGTGGCCTCAGCTGCACCCACACGCCGAAGAACAGAGCGGTTGCCATTGCATAAAACGCTCTCGAAGAACACGTCTGTACCCCGAAACCAACACCCGAGGCTGCCGGCTCCATTGCAGCTCTGCTTTCCTCCATGAAAAGCAGGGCCCGGTGCGGAAGGGGCCTCCTCGCACGTGGGAATGGCCACCTCTGGGCAGGCCCGAGGTCCGCAGGCCTCCGCTCAGCCATTGGCCGCCCGTGGACTCCTGGACGCTGGGCTTCGTGGGCGAGGCCTCTTGCCCAGGCGTGAAGCGAGGCCAGTCTGCGTGCTTGCGAGTGGCGCCGAGGGGTCTGTCTGTTCCAGCCCGAGGCCGTGGACACGGGGCAGGCGAGGACCTTCATCGGTCACAGCTTTCTCATCTAAGTATCTCCATTCCTTTCTCCATCTTCCCTGACGGAAGGGGAGAGCGCCTGACCCCGTGTTTGTGTGCCCAGACTGCGTGACCAGGACACCAGGCCGGGGACCTTGAGGGTGGAAGTTCGTGTTCTCACAGTCCTGGAAGCTCCAAGTCCCAGGTCAAGGCGCCGGCCGGCTCCGTTCCCGATGGGGGCCCCTTCTTGCTGTGTCCCCTCATGGTCTTTCTCAGGGGGGTAGGGGGCGGTAAGTGCGTCGAGAGAGACCTTTGGTGCCTCTTCTTATAAAGACACTAATCCTAGTGGATCAGGGTCCTACCTACTCTTTGGCCTCGTTTCTCCTTAATTACTTCCTTTAAAGGCCCATCTCCTAAAACATCCACGCCGGCAGTCACGGCGTCAGCAGGCGGACTTGCGGGTGACACTGACGTTCAGGCCACCCCAGGCCCCACGCCAGCAAGCGGGAGCCGGTCAGCCTGCTGTCCCAGAGCAGGCGAGGGTCTGCAGCCCGGAACAGCCCGGCTGAATTCTGAGCGCTTTACCTGGTTTTGTTTTCTTAACACCCTGAGGGAGGCTTCAGAATCGTATGAGGTTAAAACATTCGAAAATCATTTGAAAGATGGAAAGTCACAAAGAAAGAGACTTCCCCAACTTCCTTGCAGAAGGACACAGCGTCGGAGGCAGACCCCGACTGTGGCTCCTTCACCCTGGGCCGGCCGGCCGGGCGCGGGGCCTGTCTTCAGCAGGGTCCTGTGCTGCCTGGCAGAGTGGCATCACCGAGCGGCCTGGCACACTCGCCACCGCTGTGCCTGCGACGTGTCTCGTTACTGCAAAACGGGGTCAGAGAAAGTGACTCCCCCTGTTTGTGACTGAGTCGTGTAACACACTCGTGTCCTCCGCACGCAGGAGAAATTAGCCACGGTTTCTGCAGACGACACTTCAGAGTTCATTAAACGCCTCTAAGGCCATCCCTAATTAATGCACAAATTACAGGCAGGTAGCCCAACAATTTTATTTATTTAGAAATAATACCACATATTACAGACTTCATAAAATATGCCCCCAAATAGAACTTAGAAATGGTTAAGATATAAAACAAAACAAAACAAAAAAATTGAAATTTGGGGACCACTAGAAGAGATAGCCAAAATAATAGCATTTTCAAAAACCCGGTCCTCCCGCAAGCCGAGAGTTGCCGCGCGTGTCCCATTTCGGTGAGTGGCACCGGTGTCCCTCCGGCCGCCAGGGTCTGGGATTCGTCCTTGACCCCTCTTGATTCATCCCGGGTTTGTCTTCGCTGTTTCGTCCCGTATCCCATCAGTCAGCGAGTCCCAGACTCTGCCTCTCTGCCACCACGGCCGCACCGCGTCGGAATCAGCAGCGCATCTTCCCCAGAAATAGCGCCGAAGCCTCCGAACCAGTCTTCACGGCGCCCCCAGCTGTCCCCAGTCCAATCTCCAGGGAGCCGAAGCCACCTTTTTACAGCACGAATCGAACGTCTCACGTTCTTGAAAGTCTCCCATGGCCTCCCTCGCACTCGGAACGACGCTCGAATTTCTCATCACAGCCACCAGCCGAGGCCCGACCGACCACCTCCTCCCCACACAGCGTCTCTGGCCCTGGGGGCCGCTGGCACTACTGTCCTTTCTGCGGGATGTCCTGGAGACCAGCGGTCGCCTGCTCGAGCAGCCTTCGCTCACTACCCTGAACAAATAAACATCCTGCCCTTGGTCAGGCTTCGGACTTGTCATTAAAACGACCTTGTCCGTTTGGTATTTATTGTCCGTCTCCACACCAGAAGGGCCGCTCTGTGAGGGCAGAGACGGTGTGTTCGGGGCTGTGTCCCCACAATCTAGAACAGGGCTTGGCGCACAGTAGGTGCTTCCTAAGTGTCTGTTGAATGAAGAGCATCCTCTAATCTCATATCACCCTGCGCGGAAGCGGGATGGCAGTTTTGCAAAATATAGAACCTCGCACATTATCCCGGGCTGACAGAAATAGCATCCCTGCAATGTCACCTAAATCTTTTTGGTTCTCCGACTAAATAAGCAAGTATTCTTGGGATACAGGTTCTACAGTAATTTGTTAAATTTTTTATTGTCCAGATCACTTACAATTCACATGAGCATATTCTAGATCATCTAGATCATTCTAGGTCACGGGGCTGTGCACAGCCAAAGCCGTCCCTCCCTCTGGTTGGTGACTCTGCGGCCTGGCTGGGGCTGGGACGGGGGTGAGGGGATTCCGCTCCTGGAAGAACCTACATATCTACCCACATCAAATGCATCGCCGAACTCCAGGGCTTTTATTTTTAAAAACACTGTGTGTGTCACTCCGCTCCGCCGGCCCCCACTCCACCCAACTTGAGCAAAAATGATGACCAATGTCATCACTCAATAATCCAGACTCATGACGACAATGGTTTAAAATGTTAGGGTTTTTTTTTTTTTAACTGTTTAATTCTTTTTAATTAATGTCTGGGAGAATAACTCAGATGTTCATTCCTTTACGTCGAAAGAAAACCGAACATGCTGGTCCCTGAAGCAGGGAGGGTGGGTCCTGTGCGTCTGCCCCCGGAGGGCTCCGTGGGGTTGACTGGTCGTGGTGTTTCTGTGGCCGTGTCGGCTCCGGGCCGGTTGTGTGTTTGCGTGTATTATGTGTCTGCCGTCCTGCAACGGCCGTACGTACGTACTTGAAACGTCATCTATCTTTTGTTATGAAAATTAGCTTTGCAGCTTTTGAGAATCCCAGGTGCTGGGGAGATATTTAGTGCTGTGAGAACAGATGATGCCAAGAGACCAGGAGAGACCAGGAGAGACCAAGAGGGATGAACGAAAGGGCCCCCTGTTGTCACGACTGGGGGGCAGAGCCGTGAGGGGGAGGAGCTCAGAGCAGCCCCGGCCCTGCGACGTCAGGGCCCATGGCCTCGGTCAAGCTGTTTGACCTCGCCGTGCCTTGGCTTCTTCCTCTATAACATGAGGACGATAACCGAACTCACCGTCGCATGGGGCGGCTGTGAAAATCAAAGCCGTCGGCAGAGAACCCGGCCCACAGCGACGCTCAGCAGGTTTTGCGCGGATGACATTTGTTCCTGATTCGCTGGGCTCTTTGCTTCTTGCCTTTATTCCTTTTGGCCCCCAGAGTCTGCTGTGTGCACATCGTGCACAAGAAGCTGTTTATTTAGTGGCTGTGAATTACATACTGTGTAGCGTGAAGAGAAGGCCGGGGCCACGTGGTGCATAATTTTAAAGAACTCTCTTCACCTCTGCAGATTTGTCTTTCTTTCTTTAAAAAAGAGATCATGAGGTTTGGGATAGGAATATACTTCAAGGATTAAGATTTTATCAAGTGAAAATATGTTACTGTGGGCGAACTGGAATGCATGCATGTGAAGTCATGGAGATTTTTTAAGTGTCTGTTGTTGCTGGGTCTTTTCTCTTTGGGGACGCATTTAAATTCTGCCATGAGCATCGCCACATCCATTTTAACGCGTGGTCTCTGTGAAGGGAGCACTTCGCCTCCACGTCTAATGGTCAAGTACCCACGGCCCACGTGACGTAGGCTACACAGGCGTATGGTGAAGAGAACCTGCCAGGTCACCTTTGTTTTCCATGTACTTTCCAGGTGTCACCAACACATCATCACCTGGTGGGCCCAGGGGAGCAGAGACAGCACCCTCACACGGTCTTGTCGTCCCCGCCCAGAGGGACGGTCAGCCTAAGGTACGACTGCTCGAAACTCCACACTCCACAGAAGGCTGGAAGCGAGAGCGTGCTCCAGGGCACGCGTGGAGCGGCTCGAAAGCGTGGTGCTCCCCACTGGAGCCTCTCGTGCGCGTGTGTTTAACTCACTGTGAGGAAGAGGCCAAATGGGCACGTCCGCGAGTGGGCGGATAGGAGCTTGAGGGTGACAGCAGCAAACTGTAAGAGCCCGTGTGCTGGCCGCAAAGCGCCCGGCCCGCGTTAAGTGTGACCGGACAGAACCCTATGATGCTTCCCTTTCCTCCATCCTTCTGGGGATGCGGAGCCCTCCGTGGCGCGCCCGCTGAGCCCCCCACTGACGCCGTCTCCCCTTTGTCTTGCAGGAAGCCGCGGGGAGAGGGCAAGAAGTGCCGGAAGGTGTACGGCATGGAGAACCGGGACCTGTGGTGCACCGCCTGCCGCTGGAAGAAGGCGTGCCAGCGGTTCACC